CAGCTCAGCCTAGGAATCCCTAGGGATAGCTGCTCTTGGGTGACATCTGTTCTCAGCTAAACAGTCTGAGGCCCTCACCCTTTTTCTGGAAGGCACTGTGTTTCCCAGTCTAACCACTGTGAGAATGACTCCTTTTGCTATCTCTGAAGCCTGGACATGGAACGGGGCCCTCACCAGGGGTACAGAGTGCTGTGTGCTCCTCCAGGGCCACACTGTTCCACGTCTCCATCTCTGCTCAGCTTCATTGACAGCCTCGAGCCTCTGACTCACCCCTGGCCTCAGGGAGCTGCCTTCCTGGGATGGGGGTGGCCAGGCATCCTGGCACAGTGGGCCTCCTGCAGCCCCATTGGCTGAGCCCTCAGAGTCACCAGCAGGACGAGCAGCCAGGAACGTGAGAAGAAGCTCTGCTCAATGGCTGAAGACACCCCATCCCAGTACAGCCCTGGCCAGCCAAGGCCAAGGCACCACCAAGTGAAGAGCAGAGCTCCCGCTACATGTGGGGACAGAGTCTACCGGACTTCCCGTGAGAAGAACTCCTCCTTCATCCTGGGTCTGGAAGGAAGGATGGAAATCTCACCAGCTCTGTCTTTTCACATATTTTGATGCTTAGTTCCCCCTCGAAATTCTTTTTTAACACCACAACTTGTTTTTGTCCAAAGTGGCAATGCCTAGAACATGTGGGCAAGCTAGGTTTGGTCTAGTCAACTGGTTACAAGTAAATGACAACTTTTTTATTAGCATATAACAGTTGGGGAGGATACATTGTGACATTTATGTATGTGTTTACAATATATCTTAGTTGTATTTATCCACTCCATCATTCTCCCTTTCCTCTTGCTCCCCTTCTTAGAACACTTTCAAAGGTTTCATTCTTCTATTTTCATGCATGGATACAAAATACATCCACCATATTCACCCTCATTCACCCTTTCCTTAGGCCCACCCCCTCCCACTGATACTCACCCCTGGAAAAGACCTAAAAATGACAACTTTTGACAGCAGTTCTGCATTCACCTTTCAAGGTCTCTGAGTGACTGCTCCTGACTTGTGTCCTGGCTTCTGGTTTGGATTTTGTGTATCAGACATGGACAACTTGGGGCTGTCTCTGCCAAGTGCAACTCAGATGCTGGGGGAACGTTCTGCCTTGTGGGCAGGTCAGGAATCCAGCTTCTGTCTGGGAATTGATTTCCCATAGACTTGCATGGCTGTGAGGTACTCAAAACTCTCAAAATCAATTCCTACATAGGCTTTTAAAAGCAGCCTGGGGGGACCATGACTCAGGAACTAACCCACAACCGGTTTTGCAGTGTGACATGCCTTAACACCTGTTCTTTCCTGATGAGTGTTCACTAGTGTGGATCAGAACTTTGGCAGTAAACTTTACAACTTCTTCACAACATGAGCCTTTTTGGTTACCTTTCAGAATTTTCCGTGGTGCACACAAACAAATCCTCTGGACCATTCTTTTAAAACTTGTCTTCAGCCTTCTAAAAGTGCAGAGAATGGCCTCGATGTGTGCATGGATGTGCACAGGTACACCGTGCATGGACACGGATGTGCACGTGTGTGCATGCTTATCCCCTGTGCGAGTAGATTTCTTCCCTTGGTGGGTACCTGGCTCAGGTGACTGGGCACTCGTGACCAGGGAGCACATGGTTCCTCCCCCCTGTTTCAGCTTGTACCTGGTGGGGGCAAGTTTGGCTCCTTTACCTCCTTTTCTCGTCCACTTGTGTCTGATGAAGACCTATCTTCATTGTGCTTCCTGGAGGCCAGAGAAGGTGAACCTCGTGAGGCCAGTGCAGAGCCCACACTGACCCCACGGGAAATTGCTACTTGAAGTCAGTGAAGGCCCACTAAAGTTTCTCTTTCATGTTTTACTCAGAGAAAATTAGACCGATTACTGGTCTCAAGGTTAGGAGACCAGAAATTCCTTGAAGTCGAAAAATTACATTTTTTCTTTCTCTGTTACCTTTGACTACATGTGTTCATGTCAACAGCTGTCAGGGAACGGGTTAGCTTCCTGTAATGAGTCACACACACAGGCAACTTGAACAGCGGTGTTCACCCCTCATGGTGTTGGAGTGCCCCTCCATCTTCAGGTTCAGGGGCAGCTTCGTCCTCCCCTCAGCACCAGAGCCTCGCTCTGGGCTCTGGTGGCTTCAGCAGTCCTTTGCGTGCCTTGGCTTACATCTGTGTCACTCTTATCTCTGCTCTGTCATCATGTGATAGTCTCCCCATGTGTCTGTGTCCAAACTTCCTCTTCTTACTAGAATAACCACCGCTGAATAAGGGCTCACTCTGGTCCACCATGACCCCCTCTTAACTTGATCACAGGTTTCCAAATTAGACTCTGTTCTCAGATTCCAGAGGATAGGATGTGGACCTGTCTCCCAAGGGACATAGTTCAGGTCACAGCAGGGATGACGTTGGTGGCCCACTGGAGTTTGAGGAAACTTGAAGAGAACTGCATATTGGCCCATATTTGGCTTTGCCAAAACAGCCACGCCACATGGTGGAAAAGCCACCCAGCCACATGCCAAAGGCCCCAGGAACAAATAAATTTCGTATAAAAAATGAAAAAGTTAAGATTTGCACCCAGTTTGGCAGATGATATGATGCGTACACGTGACTGGATGCTGGTAAACCTGGCACCTGGGTGGTGCCCTCTGGTACCTATCCAAGCAGTGACAGCTGCCGTTCGCCTTGGGGTAGAAAGTCAGCTTTGTGGCATGGCCAGTGTGGGGGGAGTGCTTTTCCCTGGGAGGCAATAGACCACTCTGGGACACAGAGCCTACACAAGCCAAACAGTGCTGGTCATGGGTCTCTGTCACCTCACCCCTGGCTACAACTGGGTGCCTCCTCTAATGAGCTGCCTGACCACCATGAGATGTCAGCGTCTTGCCGCACAGCCCTGCACCAGTCCCCTCCAGCGGCATCACACTCTGCCATTGGTGGACGCATGACAGAGCTCCTGGTCTGAATCAGACATCAGGTTCACAGATTCTTCAAGACAGGTTTCACTGCAAGTGGCAACGCCAACTCCAACTCCACCTTCAGGAGCTGCGTGGGGTGGGATGGCATGGGGAGTCCCTAAGACAGGAAATGTGCAAGCCACAGGTGATTTCCCAGTGTCAACTTCAGACGGAGCCCTACTAAGGGCATCAGAGAACACCCAGAGCCTCACTGTGCCTCTCCAGCCCCAGGAGAGGCTCTCCGCACCACAGCTCTTCTTCTGTGGACAGTCACCCCGTCTGCTCTGGAGTTGGGGCAGGCAGCTCTGGAGGGGTAGCCCCAAGGTGACACTGTGACCGCTACTCCCCAGAGCCAAGGACCTGCAAGGCCAGTGCTGCTCCCGCTGGAGCAAGGAGAAGAAGCCCTCAAGGAGGGGAGCTGGGTGCACAAAGTACACCCACCCACCGGAAGAGAAGCCTGGAGCAGAGTGGGAGGAACAGCCAGCTGCTGAGAGCAGAGGTGTGGGGGAGACTCCACCTCCTTTTAGAATTTCCCTTCTGACGTCCGTTGCACTTAACAGACACATCGTGGTAGTTTCTACTTGCCGGGCGTGTTTTATGCTCCTTGTATATACGACCTTTATTAGTCCTCACCACAACCATGCCATACAACACTAGCATTTCCTTCCTTGCATAGTTGAGAAAACACACAGAGAGGGTCAGTGGCATGCCCAAGGTTGCACAGCTAATCAACAACAAGCCAGAGTATGCACCCTACGTCTGGCTCTGGGGCTCACTGCCCACTCTTGCAGGAAAGAACGTAAAAATGACACTGTTCTTATCTTGCAGTCCCAGGCTAAAGGCTCTTAGGAAATGAGAGGGTGACCTGGAAAACAGTGGTGCAAAATAAGTGCAGAAGCCACAGTGAGAAGCCTCAGGAGCCAGGCCTTAGAGAAGCAGTCCCTCTGCTACTGATGGGTGGCAGATCCGCTGTGGGCCCTTGGGCAGGACCTGGAAAAGGCTCCAGTTGGGCTCAGTCAGGTCCAGGAGCTGTCCCAACACTGCATCGTCCTCACTAAAACACCAGATTCAGACAAGCTGAAGGTGGTGGTCCTCACAGAGAGGGACCATGGGACCCATGCAGACGTGGCACCCAGCGGGCAGCTCTGCTGAGGCAAAGTCGTCCCCAGGATCCAAGAAGCAGAGCAGAGTCCGCAGTGCCGGCCCTTTACAGAAGGACAAACAGAAGAGAAAGAGTGAGTGTGTGCAGCTGCTTGATGGCACACAGACTCTGGTGCAGGGACCCAGAAGGAGCCCAGAGAGGGATAATGGGTGCCCAGAGATGTGAGAGGACCCCTACCAGCTGTTCTGAATTTGACTTTGTGTGCAAGCAAGACATAAAATAACCCAGTGACGTGATTACACAAATGTAAGGAAGCAGAACCACGTCTGGGCTCTGCCCTTGTGCTTGAACTATACACTGAAAATTTGAAACTCAAAGATAAATCTCACACTTATTCGACCTTCGGGTCCCAGACAACAGCAGACCCCAGCCCAGAAGAGCGGCGGGATCTGCCAGGGCGTGTGGCCAGGTGCAGCTCACCTCCCACTGTGGGCGGCTCCCACCACACAGGACCACAGGACGGTGGGGCAGTCCTGGGCGTTAGCTCTGTTTTCTGTCCCAAAGTCCAGGTCGGCCAGAGGTGGAACTCAAGGAAGTAAGATGTGGTGGCAGCTCTGTTCCTTCATGTCACCCAGTCTGGAATAACGGAACGACGTTAATTTCCTCTGTCCAGGTTGATACTGTTTGTATTGTATGAAAATATTCAACTGGACCAAGGAAACGCTCAGCTGATAGTTAGGCAGAGAAAATGAGCCAGAATGCAGAATTCTCCACACGAGTCCGCTGTAAGAGCAGTTTCCTCCTTGTGGGCGGATGTGGGAAAGTGACAATCTGATAAAAGCTGTAGAAGGAGAAAAGCATTGCTATTGTTTGTCCCTGAAACATTGTACCTTAACAAAGGGTTTGTTGTGTTGTTGTTTTTCCAGAATGATGAAACTAACAGAGGAGAGCCTGAAAAAAAGAGACACCACAGGGAGCTTTCTCAGACGGCCTCTGAAGACAGCGACGTGTTCGGTAAGAACATGGACCTGGAAATGTGCTTGCCACGGTGACCACGTGCACCAGCCTTCTCACCGGGAGGCTTTTCTCTGTGTAGTGACATGGCACTAGGGTCTGTTCCGGTTGTTGAAATGTAACCGTGCAGAGACATGGAAAAGAGACCTCCTTCGTCCTCTCCTACAGTCCTTCTTGTCACATGGCCACTGTGACCCCGTGTCTGTCCTGGTGGGCTTTTCTGTTCATTTCGGTTGCCTTGTGTGTCCCAGGCCTCCAGGACAGTCCCCACTGTCTCCTCTGCCTTCCTCTTACACTCTGCTTGTCCATGGGGACACCAGCCAGCTGGACAGCACTGTAAACCGTGACTGATGAGAAGGCAAGCTTGCCAAAGCCTGGACACAGCATGTCTGTTGGGAAATAGCTGTTATCTATATAATTTTACTTTTCATGTCATCTCCCAGAATACAAAGTACCTTTGCACATTGACATTCCTCTTCCTCCAGAGGGAATGTGTGGTCTCGATTTTGACCTAAAGGTGTTGGATCCACTTTTCCATCATGGGGCTGCAGCCCGGTACCGTGATGCAGGTCACAGGGCTGCCCAGGGCTGGTGACAAGTCTGTTCTCTGGGTAGGCTCTTACTCATAAAGAGAAGAGAGCAAGGGTGGCGCTCACTCATGGCCAGTAGCTCCTGGCCACGCTCCCTAGCCTGGCCTCCTCTCTTTACACAAGGATCTTTCTTTATACTTCACTTGTAGGCAGGACAATGTACCCTAATTTTTTATTGTTCTGATTAACTTGCTCTTTTCCAAAGACCCTTATTTTCTATCTGCTGTGCTTTCTGAGAAAACACACTGCCCTCTTGTCACTGTCTTTAGGCTCCATTAAAACAGCATTACCCAAACATGACCCAAGCAACATGGCTTCCTTTGGTGGAAGTGAGATGGGGGTGTAATGGGAGGGTGCCCTCCATTCTCTTCCTTCACGTGCATTCTCTCAGGAATCGTCCTGGGGCTTTCCTGAGCACGGCCCACTGCCTTTAGGGGTGGGGTTTGCACTCCTTAGTGACAGAGGGACAAGTAGAAGACAGCAGCACTTGGAAGAGCAGAATGTCTGTGTGGCCAATGTCAAGGATAAATTCATCTGTGCGTCTGTGAAGTTAGCATCTCCTTAGATGGTCTCTTTACTCAGATATTCCAAGTACAGACATGGAACTAATGTATACAGAGAGTTACAGAGGCATTGTAGAAAAGACAAAAATACATATGTCTAACTTTAGGGGTTTCTTTTGTTTGTTTGTTTTTGCAGTAGTGGGGCTTGAACTCAGGGTCTACACCTTGAGCCATTCCACCAGCTCTTTTTTTGTGAAGTGTTTTTTTGAGATAGGGTCTCATGAACTATTTGCACAGGCTGGATTTGAACCTCGAACCTCCTAATCTCTGCCTCCTGAGTAACTGGGATATATAGGCATAAGCCGCTGGTTCCCAGCTAAGTTTTTTTTTTTTTTTAACGCAAACGTCATCTTTATTATTAGTTGCTTTTAGGATTATTTGTAACAATGACTGTCTATCCTGTTATATGCACACAATTCATGCATATACGTGACATATATACCATATAACATAAATGGGCTTCTATAAGGACCCTGTCCTAGAAGTATGGAGACACTGTAATTCCTGAAGCTGCCTCACAACAGTCATCCCCAACCTTTCGAGAAAATATTCAACTTGGAAAATGACTGTGTAAGGTTGAAAATGAAAACAAATAGAAATGCAGAATTCTTCAATCTTTCTGCAAACTTGGATTTGTGTGTTCCTGGGAAGAGCCAGCAGTTGTCTGTCACTTACTGCGAGGCTCCTGGGCTTGGGACAGTGCAGAGACTCTTGTGTCTTTTGGAAGAAGGCAGTTCCCACAGCGTCACACTGTGCACGGCAGCCTGCTATGTGACCTGAGTCACCCTCACTGTGCACAGCTGCTGCGTGATTACGGCTGAGTCAGAGCCCAGGAGTGTGTGAGGCATCTGCAGCCTGCAGACAGCCTCAGCTCACCCGACTGTGAGTCAGAGATTCCCAGGAGGCCTTATTTGGCCCACAGGCACCTGCTCAGCAATCCTGAGTGATACACAAATTCTCTGTGATGTGCGCCAGACGTGTGGCTCCCGATGAGAGCAGTAGCCCCTCCCCCCAACAGGTCTTTCTCTGACTAGACAGTGAGACCCTAAGCAGGACAGGAAAGCACATGCCCTGACATCCTTGATGTCTGTGACCCCGTGAGTCATCGGCACCTACGTCATGGGTGCTCATCTTCAAGTTCTTGGTGATTATTTTGTTCTTGCGGCAGAAGGAGCGAGAGATTTGAAGACTGTGGAAAGGCTGTTATCTCTTAGCCACCAAAGTACTGCAGGCCACGCATACCTAGTGTGGAGCAGGAAGACGAATGGTGGTTTCCTTCCAGGGACTGGCTGGGCATAGATGCAGTAAGGTGTGGCTTACAGCTGAGTGCTCCAAGCCATGAACTAAATCAGGCCACCGTCCGTGCCTTTGCCATGGCCAGGGGTGATCATTTAGTTAGCAGTGTGCGTGCAAGTTTACAGGCTTTACATTTCCTGGTAAAATCCTGCTAGAGGAGTGTTTCGGACCTAAGCAGGCGCTCAGTGGAGCACAGTTGTAAAGCTCTCGGTACTTTTCCTCTGGCGGCATTGTGGTTGCACCCACTGTTTGCCCAATGACACAAACATAAGGAAGCCTTTGAGGGCAGGGTAGCCTAGAGAACCACGTGTCGTCCAGACTTTGGAGAACCAGGTTATTTTGCGGTAGGCCAGTTGCTAAGCTTTGTTGCAGAATACCCCACACACAGCCCATACCGACCTGTCATTTGAAAGCCACGCACACGGAAGGCAGCAGTGCCTCGCCCACTGCCTCCTTAGCTCTGTAATCACAAGCTACAACCAGGGCAGGTCATGGGCGAGGTGAGCGCTCCTCGGCCCTCCCTGACTTACGCTAACAATCCAGAGGACCACCAGTAGGGGGTGCTGTTGCTCCTTGGGAGTGACTGGTTCCTTCCCCGTGGGCCAGAGGTCTAAAAGCCAGAACTCAGAGGCTGAATCATCACGCCGTCCCCCATGTAGTAGTTCAAGTGGACAGGTGACCCTGGCAAGGATGGCTTAACCATCAGTCTTACCTCCCGGCTGTCGTCCACCCCTCACAGGGCCTGCCTCGTGAGGACAAAATCCTAGTGTGAGCCAGGGAGAACTCAGCAGCTCATTCTCCGATGACAGAGTTGGAACTAGGTGTTCATCGTCCAGCAAAAAGTATTTGTCTTAGGAACATCTCAGTGCCACGTGTCCCTGTGTGTCACAGAGCTTGAGTTAATAAGGAGACACACAGGAAACAGAATGTAAGTGAGATATGGGGTGTGGCTCAAGTGACAGAGCCCCTAACTTAGCAAACCCATGACCCTGTGTTCAACCCCCTAGTACCACAAAAAATGAAAAAAAAGTGAGATTGTGAAGTAAAAAGAGTAAAGAAAGCACAAACATGAAAAATGTCCACCAGGCAATGCTGGGTGGTTCACCTCGACCTGTGAGCTGCCCACATGAGTGGGCATGTGACATGTGTCATTTCACAAAGGACTGGTGTAATTTGGGGCAGTTCACTCATCTTTCTGTGCCTTGGTTCCTCATATGTGAGAAGGGATGATAACATAACAGGACCCTGCCAGTGTTGGGGAGGTTCACCTGTGTACAGGCAGGACACCCTGTCCCCTGGGCAGGATTTGGGGAACATCAGCTATTATCACAAAGAAGTTTGCACTTGTGTTTCAAGTGATGCAGAGTTTTGTTTAACAAATTCTAAGAATATTTTCATCTAGATTTTTTTTCAGAGATGATGCGTCCATATGACCTTAAGGTATTTTTGTGAAGGGTTTTTCAAGATAGGGTCTCTCAAACTATTTGCCCAGGTTGGCTTTGAACTGCGATCCTCCTGATCTCTGCCTCCTGAGTAGCTAGGATTCATAGGGTTCTTTGTTATGATGGTGTGACATCGTCCTCAGCATTGAAAGCCGAGATCATGACCCCAGGACCTGACGTGGCCACGGACAGAACTGAAGTACCTAGAGCACCTTCCTGAGTCAGGACTCGATCAGGTACCTGCTGGCACAGGACCCAGGTCCCTAAGCTGAGAAGGTTCTGAGGATGGCAGGCAGCTGAGGCCCCTACTGCCCCATCCCCGTGAGGGTGAGTCAAGGCCCTGAGTTCAAGCCCCAACAAGACAAGGACAAGACCCAGGGCTTTGACTTGACCCAGATGTCAGACCCCACATTACCGGGGTCAGCTCCTCTCTGCTTCGTCCCAGTATTGATGCAAGGGTTCTGTGAAAGAACAGCTGTCTACTTCACAGAGCAGCATAGCATTGGGGTGGCCTCGGCCAGACGCAGATGAGTCTCATGTGCCACGTGAGCTAGATCACATGAGTGCTCACATTTCACCTGCCATAAGGTGGGATTTCTTAACGCTGTGATGATGGCTTCGAGAAGTCTAGATATGTCACAATTTGATCATCACAGGTTCATTGTTCATTCATTAAGTCACTTTCAAGCACCTCGAACGTGCCCTGTGATGTTCTAGGGTGGAGCCAGAGGGGTCAGAGGTGACAGGAAACAAAATAGAGGAGTGGCATTTGCGGGTCCTGGGGAGTTCCTGCCACAGGGGGCATTTTCGTCTCGTTTTCCCAGTGCTGGGCCAGTGTAGTGATGCTGCTGGGTGGGACACTGTGATGTAGAGAGATGACAGATCCTCTGCACGAAGACACCCAGTTTAGGGAGCCATGGTGGAGGGAAAGGGGAGGCTTTTCAGAGACAGAGGCAAGGACAAGGCACGCTGAGCAAGGTGACAGACAGAACTCTGACCATTGATACGTTGGTGGGGTTTCTCTTCCCTCAAAGAGCTAGCCCAGGAAAAAGATGATGGGAACAGCCCTTCCCCCACCAACCCCAGCTCCAGCCCAGCTGTCAGTGCCA